TTTTTTGGCTCATCTGCTTCATTTCCAGCGCCCTCGGTTACTATTGTTCAGGAGGATGACGAGCCTCCATTGTCTCCACCGCAGGCCAGCTCGTCCTCCTCCTCCGGGTCGTCAGCCTCCGCCTCTGCCTCCACTGGTTCCTCTAGTTCTTCCTCGTCCTCGACTTCCTCTAGACCTTCGGATCACGATGCCGAAGAGATCCCTCCTCTAAGCCGCTCGGATCATGTTACCAAAGGGAAAGCTCCTGCCCACCATTCTCATTTCGTTACATACTCTGCCACGTCCCCAGTTTTTGTTCCTGCCACCTACAAGCAAGCTCAAGGTCTTCCACAATGGGAGGCTGCCATGGACACAGAAACTGACGCATTGGAGGCTCAACACACCTGGGATCTTGCTCCTCGGCATCCTGAGATGGCTATGATTGGGAGCCGATGGGTCAAGGGTTCAGACAACAGGTCGGTGTTGGCTATGAAGAGACGTTTTCTCTTGTGTCTAAAATGCAAACTGTTCGGAGTCTCATTGTTGTGGCAGCTATGCAGGATTGGTAAAAATGCTTTTCTACATGGGGAGTTGAAAGAGACAGTCTACATGGAGCGTCCACCGAGTTACTCAAAGGGGGATAAGACCACGGTTTGTCACCTTCGTCGGTCACTGTACGATTTGAAGCAGTCCCCCAGGCTTGTTCAGAGTCAGATGTTAGAAACAAGGTTTCTAACGTGATCGGGATTGGGGAACTTACCTAGATCAATTAGGGATTGATCTAGCTAGGGATTGTGATTTGTGAAATTAAGAACAAAAGGGAGGGGGAAAAGACTGCTGCTGCCGTAGCTTTGGAAGAAGAAAAGAGGGAGGGGATCGGCGCAGGGAAGAGAGAAGAGAGAGGGATTAGGTTTAGGTTTTTAGTAATTGATTGCTTAAAGAAAATAATACCAATAGTACAAATTATATAATCCGCCTAATCTCCTTCTACTACCCAACCAATAAAATATAACAATCGACTCCCTGTTTATTTCCCGAATTACCCAAATAATCCCCCAATTATTAAAAACCGACACTAATACGAAATAACCAAAAACTGCAAATAATGTGTTTCCCACATCCCCGGCTTCTTCGGAAACAACTTTGTCCTCAAGGTTGTGGACCCTACTCCAAATCCGGCGGCCCTTCCTCGGCTGCTTCCTCCTCTGCTTCATCTTCCCAACGTCCCACCAGCATCATCAAGTCAGGCTTGGCGCATTTGTGCCCCACAGTGAACCTCTCATCGCAGTTGAAACACTTGTCTTCCCTCCTCTTCTGCTCGATCTCCTGTGGTGAGAGCCTCATGAACCATTTTGGGGGTGGCCTAGGTGCTTGCCGACTCGCGATGACTGCGCCAGCTGGCGACAGCCCAGTGCCAGTAGGCACACTCGCACCTCCTCCGCCTGAGCCAACTCCACTTCCTCCAATCTCGCTTGCCTTTGCAAATCGCCCAATCGTGCTCCTCCAGCTCGCCATCTCCTCCTCCTTATAACCTGCAAGACGAAAGGCAGACCGCAGCGAGTCGGGCTCGAAAACCTTAACCGCCGCGGCTATTTCTGGCTTTAGGCCAGCCATGCACAACCCGACTAGGGTCTCCTCCGACACTCCCTTGCATTGGTTGCCTAGCTTGAAGAATTCCGCCTTGTACTCCGCTACTGTCCCGGTCTGGCTCAGCTTAGCTAGTTGCTCCGATGCCCACCCTTCTCATTTTCCAAACTGATACCGCAGCTCTTCTTTGAACAAGGGCCTGGTGAGCAAGGTCTGCGCAGCTGCGCATGATCGCTCCAGCCACTCCCACCACTATAACGCGTCTCCCTCTAGGTAGAAGGACGCCAGATGCGCCTTCTTTTCTTCCTTGGTAGGGTGATTCTTGAACCACCTGTCAGCTGCATACAACCATAGACCTGCATCCTCCTGACCATTGAATTTTGGAAACTCAATGGTAGGGGGTTTGGCCCTAAACACCAGATCGCCATCATAGCCACGGGGATAGCTGTCATACCTGTCGTGGTAGCCCCCCGGCACTCGGCCGTGATAGCCCCTCGGTCCTGGCGGACCTCTACTTCGACCCCAGTCCTCTTCTTCCTCGAACGGGTACTCCGCATACTCGTCCAGACCAGCCTTTCGTGCATGATTAGGATCCCATTGCTCTGCCGGTGGATGGGGACCATGAACTGGCGGGTCAGAGGGTCACGAACCCCTGCCGAAGACCCTTCTGATGCTCGACTCCCGATCGCCTGATCCGCCCAGTAGCTGGTCCGACCGGTTCAGCCCGCTGGTTCGACCCCACCTGGTCCGACCCACTCTGATCGACCCGACCCGATTCGGTCCGGCCCGGTCAGCCCTCCTCGGCCTGGCCCCCACCCGGGCGGTCGGTCCGACCCACGGCCCGCGCCCCTTCCCATCGGCCCTCTTCCTGACTCGGCCCAATTCCGGGCCCTCTGATCCGGGCCCAGCTCCTCTTCCTCGTCTGGGCTCAGCCACCCCAGCCCATTGGGTTCCCTGCCTTGGCCCATGTATTCGTGTGGGCCGAAGTTCAGCTGGGGGCCCACACCGTCGTATCCGGGCATCTTCGCCTTGCCCTTCAAGGCCGCGACTTCTTGGGCCGACGGGGTCGGCAACAGGCCCGACCCACCACCCTGCCCACGCCCCGCCGCCACACGATCAGCTCGGGCCAGCCCTGTGTCCGCCGCCCTGCCTCCCTCGGCGCAGGGAAGAGAGAAGAGAGAGAGGGATTAGGTTTAGGTTTTTAGTAATTGATTTCTTAAAGAAAATAATACCAATAGTACAGATTATATAATCCGTCTAATCTCCTTCTACTACCCAACTAATAAAATTTAACAATCGACTCCCTGTTTATTTCACGAATTACCCAAATAATCCCCCAATTATTAAAAACCGACACTAATACGAAATAACCAAAAACTGCAAATAATGTGTTTCCCACAGAATGATCCCTCTTTGTTTCTTTGCCATACTGATTGCGGCATCACGGTCCTGCTCATTTATGTTGATGATATGATCATTAGTGGCAATGATTAGGCGGGTATCAAGTTCCTTAAGGATACTCTCCGGGATGCGTTCAATCTCAAGGAACTGGGTACGTTATCTTACTTTTGGGCTAGGAGTTTGATCGATCGGCGACAAGTATTCATGTGTGTCAGCGAAGATATATTGTCGATCTCTTGGAGGAGGCGCAAATGGACATCTGCGACTCTTGTGTCACGTCGATGGAACAAAATTTAAAGTTAACACGGTCTTCTGACGAGTTACTTCATGATGGTACTCTATATCACAGTATAGTGGGTAGTCTGATCTACCTTACTCACACGCGTCCTGACATTGCCTATGCATCACAGGTTGTCAGTCAGTACATGTCTGCACCTCGCACTCACCATTGGCGTGTCGTCCAGAGGATTCTGCGTTAATCTCCGTGGCACGTAGACTGTGGGCTTACATTTTCCGATGGGTGGTAGTCCCGTTATTGAGGCTTATGCTTATGCTAACTATGGAGGTTGCTTGGATACCCGCCGGTCGACGTCTGGATGGTGTGTGAAGTTCGGGCGGTCCTTTGTTTCTGGCGCTGTAAGAAACAAGATCGAGTCGCGAAGTCCTCTACTGAAGCGGAGTGTCAATCTATGAGTGAGGTCACTTCTGAGTTGGTGTGGCTCCAGCTCTTGTTTACTGATTTTGGTGTGGTATGTCGTACTCTGATTCGTCTCTATGCTGACAACACGAGTGCGATTAGGATTGCGACCAACCCCATCCTCCAGAACGCACAAAACACATTGAGGTTCATGTTCACTACATTCGACAATTGGTGACGAAGGGTACTATTGAGTTTGCCTATATCACGTAGAGGATCATAGTATCATACGGCAAATCTATTAACTAAGGCGGTTGCTTCTGCACATTGGTATTTGGCTCACAAATTGATGTTGTGACTTAGGTAACCTAATTCGTCACCATTGGGTTGCCGCTCTCGCTTTGGAGCGTGGAAACGCGTTTTCAAATGAGTTCGCCCAAAATTCGCGAACTCAATTAAGATAGAGCGCGACTTTGCTTCCACCCGAGCGTGAATTCCTTGCTCTGCCAAACTAGCTTTCTCTCGGATGAACTCCCAATAGCTTCCGCCCCTTTCTCGCATCCATCGCCGTCTATCCCTCTTTCCTCGTTGCCCCGCCTGCCACCAAATACGCCTTGCTCTTCTTGCTCATCGATTGGAACAAAATACGCGATTTGGGTTGTGGTTGTTGGACTCTATATAGAAGGGCAATCTGCCGTAGCTCTGTTGCGCCCCCAAGATGAGATGGATTTAGAGCAATAATCAATTGGAAGGTCGACGATGACAGTGTATTCAACTATTCATAGAGGATCAAAGATATGGAGAAGGAATTCATGGTATGTTCGTGGTTGCAGATCATCGTTGTCTGGGAGTAAATGACAATCGAGTTGAAATTAGGGATTTTGATTTGTAAAGAAAGAAGGAAAAGTTGGGAAACAGAACCGAGAGGAAGAAGATGATGGGCATAGGGAAGGAATGGTTTCATTTTAGTTAAATGTCGTCGTCTTGCCTCATTTCCTCAACTTAATGGGCTTAAAGAGAAGGAAAGGCCCAAAATTATCTCTTTAAAAGAACAAGTTACAAGTTACTGTTTCTTAGAGTCACATCCCGCCACTGTTACTCCTTTTGCTTTTTTTGCCCTCTTGTATCTGACTGACATTTTCTCTGATGCGTTCAGGCGGCTCCCATCAAACCAATGGCACATCACTAAAAGTACTTATTTTGTAATTGATCAAAGCTTAAGGACCAAAAACATAATTATGTTCTCATCTCTCTCCTGTATTTGTTCTTATCCACTTGTTTTTCATCTCTCTCCCATAACCCCTTCCACCAACCAGTCAATGTTCATCTCTCCTTTTCTCTCATCAGAAGAAGAAGAAGAAGGGAGACGAAGAAGAGGATGAAGAGAAGAGGAAGAATGCAAAGCCCGACCACCTCAATCGTGCTCTCCCTCTCTCTACGATTCAGCTTCTATGTTGTTTCTTTCTCTCTCTGCGAGCCCAAAACTCCGACATCGGCGAGCCAAAACTCCGACATCGGCGATGAATCGGCAAGTTTGTCGAGGAAGGAGAGACGGCTGGATATAGTGAGTTTTCCTGACGATGGCGATCTTTTCCTCAGAGAGGTTTCAACAGGGGAAAGAAGGAGGAGTGTTGTGGGAGGTGAGTCGATGGACTCTAAGTGAGGCTGGAGGAGACAACAGCGAGGGGAGAGGGTGTGGTCTTCGGCGGCCGGCGGGTGGTGGGGATAGTTCTAGGTTTTCCTTGCGTTGAAGGAGGTTAGGTTGGAATAAACTTTTGGTGGTTCCGGCAGTGACGGAAGTGATGCTGAAACAGGAGGCGATGGAGCAAGAAGTAAAATTACTTGAGAATCTCAATCAGGTATGGGTGTGAAGCCGGTTTCTGACTTCTGTTTTGCTTTTCATTATTAGTTTTTGGGGTTTATTTGTTGCTTTCTAGCCTACTACTTTATCCTCTCTAGCTTATGAGAACAAGTAAAAAGCAAAAAAGTAACAGCTAGCGGCTTTGCTGAACGTAATTTCGTCAGACGTTGCTCGTTCGTGATTTGCGCATCCATTTTGACTGTCCCAATTTTCTACATTTCGACTGAATCAAATATCCAGGGTGCCGGATTTGCTGCTACATAGGAGCTCAAATTAGATATACTCTGGCTTGCCCGGAATGTTGGGCTCCTCTTCTTCGGATACTCCTTCTTCGTCATCGTCTTCGGCAATAAGAGCTTGGAGGACTGCCTTTCTGACTCTCCGGGACGAAACCCTAACGAGCAGGCCTAAATCGAAGTCAATAACGCAACTTCTCAATGATCTCATTTTCTCTCATTTCCGGACTCTCATGTCTGCCGCCCCCGACCTTCCTCCTCACGAGGTACACTGCAATTTGATGCTGTTTATGTTACTGTACAAGTGCTCATTGGATACTCAATATAGAGTTTAGTCGACCACTGCATCTTTGTAATTGCTCCTAGCACTCCATGATAGAAATGAATAAAGACAAAGTTCAATGGGGAACCTCATTACTAATTTTGAATTTTCAGGTGACCTCTGATCTGCTGTTCTTAATGGAACTGGCTGCAAGTTCTCCAGGCGGCCAAGATGTGTCACCTATCTATGTTTATGTTTCCTCTTTGGTACTCCTTCGTTTTTTACTGGCTCTATTGGCTTCTCCATTTCAGGCTTAGCATATTCAATGTTACATGGTTTGTTTGCTGCTACCCAGGTGCATGCATATTTGCAAGCTTCAACGTGTGACTCTTCAATTGAATTCTTCTTCTTGGGTTGTTGTGATCAACTGTTTCTCCGCTATGGTGCACTTCTTCCTCGGCCAAGCTGGTTCCAGACCCCAATTTTCGTTGGGGCACGCTGTGGAATGCTTGGGGACCGTAAGGTATTAGTTCTTGGTTCTTCACTCTGTCAGCTTGTGCACTCACTTGGCCTATTTTCCAATAACTTAATCTATTACTGTCTATGACTAGGTTTGGGCTTTTCTGTTTGACAATAGTGTCTACATTTGTCTTCTTATTTATTATTTGATATGTTATGTGACTGGCGTGCTAAACTTTGAATACTTTATGCTGTTTCTTGAATCCCCAGATGTCTGGCCTCCATCTATTAGCCGAAAAGTTTGCTATCAGATGATGTCCACTTGGCAAAGTTTCTTCTCGGAGTAATTGGAAGTTATCATGCTCAGTGCCTGTTGTCAACTTGCACGAGCACCAGTGAAAATGTTGCGTCTCAACTGGCAAGAGGTTATCTAAAAGCAGTCAGTTGTGGGAAGTTCCAACAGCCGCATTTACTTTGCTCAGTGAAGCATTCACAAGAATCGGGTCTTCGTTCCCCACTTATATTTGGCAATCTGCTATGGAGGTATGTTGCGGGCTTGACTGATTTGATGTTTTTTGGGAAAAGAGACTGATATACTTTTTTCCCTCCGATCCATAACCAGGTCATTAGGAAAGTGATGGACGTCTTACTGTCTCAGAACTTCCTTGTTGAAGGTGCTCCTGCGACAAGGTTTTTAGAATTTATCCGTCTAAACCTAATAACAATAGATGCACTTAAACACACATTACAGTGCACAACCTTATGGCTTTGATTCTGTAATTCATGTGCACTACAAGTATGATGATGCACTTTTTTGCAGGTTTTATGTTCCGCTCCTTGGATTTCTACATCTGGTTCTTACCAATGCTAAGGGTTTTCAAAATGACCATGTATGTGAATCTTTGCTGTCAGGTTTGAGGATTATTTTCCTGATATTAGGAATGTTGTGTGCCTTACAGTATGGATACTTGTCATCCTCACAGGTTCCTGCTTTTGTGGCAACTTTGCGAATGTTCTTTACGTATGGCCTGTCACAACCCTTATACTCCACTAATGCTGGCACACATAAGAATGCTGCTAAATTGATTTCAGAAGACACTAAGAAAGAGCGTATTCCGTATCGCCCTCCTCACCTGCGCAGAAAGGAAAATGTAAACATGAAGCAGCTTAAAGCTCAGGAATTATCTTGTTCCTCACTTCCTCTGATCAAGAGTCTTTTGCATTGGAACTTATTTCATCAGATTCAGATTGCAGTGACAGTGATGGATCTGTTAAAGATAATGATACTATTAAAAGTTCAAAAGTCAGGACTGCTGCTATAGTTTGCCTACAAGTAAGTATTTTCTGCTATCCTCTCATCAGCGCTTGTGATGAAAATGCATATGTATAATGTATTTGTCACTATGTTTGTAATTAACAGAATGCTAATACTCTCAACATTTTGCTTGTTTCTTGGAGGATCTTTGTCTAGCTGATCCCAGATCCTTTACCACTCAGTGGACTATGATTTTGCCTACAACTGACGTACTAGAAACAAGGTAAGATCATCACAGGATCACTTTGGTTATTTCTTGTGAGTTAATTGTTCCTTGAGTAATTGAGTGTTCATTAATGCGCAGGAAGTTTGAAGCTACTCTGTTGACTTGCTTGCTGTTTGATCCTTATTTGAAGGTATTTACTGGGTTGTTTATTGGACTTGGATTGTTTTCCAGCAGAGATGAAACATGCTGGCCCTGCTTCCAATTCTAAGAATCTTGATTTGCCTAATTCTTCTTAAAATTAGGATTAAGGTGTGATCATCGACTTCCTTTACTGTTGGTATGATAATTGATACAGGTACGGATGGCATCCGCATCCACTCTGGCAGTCATGCTGGATGGCCCTTCATCAGTTTTCCTGCAGGTAGCTGAGTACAAAGAGTCCAGCAAGAGGGGGCCGTTTATGGCCCTGTCAAGCTCACTTGGACTTATACTTATGCAACTTCATGCTGGTAACAGAGAGAATTCTGTCGTGGTTGAGTTACATTTGTGCTGACTGTGATTTTTGACATTTGTTGCTTGCTGCTTACATGCTTCGTTCTGGTTTGCTGTGTTTCAGGCTTGCTGTACTCAATCCAGCAAGAAACTCATAGTAGATTGCTAGCATCCCTGTTGAAGATTCTTGTGCTTTTAATATCAGCCACACCGTATGTATTCTGTAGCTCAAAAGCTTAGCGTATTTTCATCCATTTTATTTACTATATTTTAGTAGCTTCGTAAGATTACATTCAACCTGGGAAAATTAAATTCCGGTTATGGTTTTGGAGTCAAGCGTACTTCTTGCTGGTTACTTGTGTCTCTCTTACAAAAGGAACTCATGTAAAGCTTGGCCAGAGAGATAGATGGAGAGAAGCTTTAATTTCAAGTTTGAAATTGAAACATGATTTTTCTTGACGGGCCTGTTTTTCTGATGGACTCATTGAAGAAGGTAAAGAAATTGAACCAGGGAGATGGGTTGTGGATTCCTGGACTTGGTCAGTTGGAATTGCCATCAAAGAATTAGTACAGTATAGGAATTGCTCAAGTGAAGGAAGCCTTCTCCTCGGTGAGTCCTTTAATAGTGACAACATTGTGGATTTAGTTTTTGGTTATTGTCTCCATTTAACTCTATGACTGATGAACCAGCCTGTAATCCACCTTTGGAGATACATAGTGACCACGGAGAGCACTTGAGTGGTTCTTGCTACTGGTTTCAGCTGCCATTTTAGTTTAGGTGTATATGTTCTTAGATAAGTTATCCCTAAGTATCTTCTAAAAGGGATAGAAACAATAGAAGCTATCTCACTTTGTTTGGGTTTGAAAGCGGACTCTGCAGACAGTTACTTTCTACAGATTGCATTGTATGATCTCATTCTTTTTCTTACTCATGACTTCAGTCTCATTGCAGTTGCCTCCCAGAAACATGATCTGAAGGAGATGGGCAAAGGTAAGTGAGAATTAGGCTCAGAGACTGAAGTATCATCAAGTGGAGAACAAAATGTTAGGAACATCGAGGAGTTGTTAAGAGTAGGTGCATCATTTTTCCATTTGGTTTGCTTAGTCTATTTCCAGAATTCTAGATCTCATTAATGGTAAGATTCTTTGTGAACCAGCTTGAGTTGTGTTCAACTAATTATTTGTTCTTTTTGCAATTCTTTTCATTAAAGGCAGACCATGACGTTGTATGTTGTGTTTCAGTATGGTCTCTGTAATCTTTGTTTCCATCTCACAGTACACACATGAATGTTAGGTTACGTTGAATGTTAAGTTCAGTCGGGTTTACGTCGTTTATAAATTTATTTATTTTTTACTTCATATTAGCTGGTTTCTCCTGTCTACATAGGATCTCTCTATGTGTGGTTGGTTTAATCCTTACTTGAATCCTACTGCCACATGAGAGCTGAGTTTGGGGTTTGATGGGAAGGAAGATTAGAAGAGTACACCAGGATCCTTAACTCTCTTAAAATCAGTGGGAGAGGTTAAGTCAGCAACTAAATTGCTTCAAAATCTTGGTTTGCTTTGTTTTGGTTTCAGCTGGTGATATAAGAATACCGAACTGAATGCCCTGAGTTACATTTGAGTGCCACTTAGTAGATTTGTTGTTTATTTGGCCTCACTGGATACTCTTTTATGTTTCTAGCAATCAGTTGTCGGTGTGATATTTTCCTTTTTTCGTCAAAGCACGAGACATGATTCTACATTGCCTATTTCGTACAAGTCAATGCACTTCACCAACTAACGCAGCTCAAACCAATGGATTGAAGTTTACCTTCAATATCCTTTTTTAGGTCCCATGTCTGCACCAGTAATACTCCCACTGAAATCCAAATAATTAGCTCACTCAACAATTGAATAATGCTGGGTTGTGATTAATGATGTTGTTGTTGGTTTTTGTATGTTTTTTATCTTCCGCGTACTGTTTATTTATTACTCGTGAACAAGCGCCGCTGGTATTGAGTCAGAGTCAGACACTACACCATGTTGCCATTTTTGTAGCCTGAACCTGTTTTCAATCATTGCCAGTTATATGTTTTGATCTCGTGTGTCAATCAACTGAAGGCTGCAGTTTTTGCCACTGAGCGAAGAAAGTGTTGGAAACCACACTTGCAACAGTGTTTATTCAGAAGCTTTCGAAGAACTAGAAGCCACCACTTGGTCCTTCTATCACCAATGCAAGGTATTTCCTTTTCTGATATGTTGTATTTAGTCCCAAATGGGCTAGCTTCCCTTGACAAATTTTGTCAGTCATGCATAAATAACAGAAACCTTTAATTAAGTGTTATTGTTTTCACTTAATTACAAGATTCTTGAAGATGTGATGTTGCTGGATGGAATAGGTGACAACGAAGCCCGTCCTCTGTTCAACGTACATGCAATGTAAGTACCTGGTGAATGGGATCCATTTTTGATTTTACAATTTGTTTCGCGGATATTGTAGTTTTTGACAAAATCCTGAAAGTAAATACTGTTAGAATCCCAACCCACTAAATTGGTTGTCTATGTCATCTTCACAATTTAAAGTTTAATTGAATTCTCATTCAAGCCAGCTTACATGGTAGTTCTGTGAGTCAAACATCCGAGTGTCAAACGACAATACTTAAGATGTTATATGACGAAAATAGAGCCAGTGAGGTTAATAGAAAATTCATTTAGCTTTTTCTGGAGTTCATGCAGCCTAACACAACTTCCTCTTACAATGAACATTAAAACAGTACAATTTCAGTCGAAAGTATAGAAGGAAACAACGTCTAGCCAGAGTAAAAATTACATAGCTTGCCTCTGCATTCACATGACTATTGACTGGGATATTTTTATCTTGGCTCAACTGACTTAGGCTTTTACCCATTGTAAGGATTTCATTTTACTTACTCATTTGCTACTTTCACCGCCTGCAATCTGCATAGTAGGATGTCATTTGTGGTTTATAATGGTCCCTAACATTATAGATTTTATGGTTTGGTTTTGTTTGTGCCTATAGTTTTATGGTTGCCCATATGCTTTGCTCTACAGTTTGTAGCCGGTCTGTTCTGCTGTGGCACCAAGGGTACATGGAACTGTGGATTAGGAGGTATAGCGATGCACAACTCAACTTGCGTGTGCGTTGCTTCATTATGATTAATTGAGGTTTGTTCTTCTGTAACTTCTTCTTTTATTCCCTTTACATGTTCTGTTCTCTAATGTGGTCTCGGTTCTTTTCCCCCCTTTTTGCCAGAGCTTTGCTGTACAAATAGGGAATTAATTGCATATGCAATTGAGAGGACTAGAGTTGAATATTGTTATTCTAGGATGAGGAGGAGAAGGTCATGTTACAGCTAGGTATTTGTTTTCCTATAACGGTCTGAAACTTTGGTTCCTACAAACCCAGTTTTAAGTTTTCATGATGTGAAATAATTTGAATGATCTTTAGCAAGCAACCATGTGGAAAAAAATGAATCAATTTACCATAGTTACTAGATAATTGGTGAAGTTTAATCAAGCGATAAATGCCAGATTGCCTGCTCTCAATTCCCAAAGAGTTGTTGAGTTAGTAAATAATTCATATATTCAATTGTGTTAATTTTATTGTTTTCATGTACCTTATATGTAATTTATAAAGGGTGTTTGCAGCCATTAACTAATTGGTATGTTTTCAAAATGATTTACTCCTCAAACCAACAGTTAGGTGGCCTGACAATTCTATGTGTTCAAATTCACTCTCCTTTCCTTTAGCTATGGACTCTGCTGGTGTTTCATTTCAGAATTTCAGTTATGGCGTGGAGAAGAATTCCAATTTCGTTTTTATTCTCATTTCCACTCTCTCTTTCTGATTTTGTATGAGTGTTTATGTTCTCTTCCTTCGAGATGGGTGCCTATTTTAATCACAAATGCCGGATTTGTGAGGTTCAGTGGCAGTGTGGAGAAGAAACTAATCTCCAGTTTCCACGACGCTTTTAGATTTCAAGTGATTGTTCTCTCTCTGTGATTAGTTTGTTTACTCTCTTTTCTTGATGGTTTCGTTTCCATTCTTTCTTTTGTCAGGGGGTTTGTTCGTCTGCTTTCAAAGGAGGTTCGGACGGCGAGTTTTGTGGCAAAGAAATTGATCTCAAATTCTTAGGAAACTTTATTGCCCGTTGAGCTTGCGAAGCAACAGGCGGAACCTACTGTGGTGGTGAGCTACCTCTCTTGATCTGATTCCTTTCTAAGGTTCATGTTTACTTGGATATTTGTTTAGATCGTTTGTTTGTTCTCTACTAGGAGTGGCGACGACTGTTTCACCGGCCACTTCATAGCAGATTTTGCACTCTTGAAGGTTAGGTACATTCTTTTTATAGGCTGAAACGAATGCAGCATTTTACCTAACAGGAAGCAGCATTTTACCTAGGGGCAGCAGCAGTCGACCCAGCTTGGTTATCAGACTCCAACTTCACCTCGAACTCTCTCGACTCAAATGGCAGAGCCCCAGCAGTGAACAGACTATCACTTACCTAACAGTCTATCACGGTGTGGTGGCTCACACATTTGCTATGTTATGATTCTGTTTCTGTCTTACTCTTCCTTACTGTTTCCCCCATCTCACGAGGATTGCGAAGAAGAGCTGGCTGTAAAAAAAAACTCCTAGGGTTGTGCATTGAGGGGGGATCTGGATTTATATGCTTGAAAATGCTATTGTGCGGATGATTGATTCATGAATGTGCTTGGTTTTAGGTCACTATTACCCCGGAGGTTACTTCGAAGAAGGTCAACAGAGATGTCATTTCTACACTGGACAAGTTATACCGTCGATCTCATTTGGGGAACAAAATGGTGGCCTATGATGGTAGGAAAAGTCTGTTCACTGCTGGGGCTCTGCCATTTGAGTCGAGAGAGTTCGAGGTGAAGTTGGAGTCTGATAACCAAGCTGGGTCGACTGCTGCTGCCCCTAGGTTCTATGCATTGAACATGTAAGCAAAGAAATTGTAGGATTCATTGCCTTCCACACCTGAGGTGTTGAGTTGATTACGATATCAATTGTCAGGTTAAGTATTCATTTGACAAGCTCATTAGTATTTGTTTCATGATTATTGACAAATCATGATTGTTTGATTGCATTATAATAACTCTATTTTCATATTTCCCCCCTCACTTATGAATTCGAAGATCAAACACTCTAATCCTCCCGCCGCGAAGCGCGGGCTTCCGTACTAGTGTTAAATGAAGAAAGAAAAGAAAATAAGTGACTTCAAGTTCATACCACTCGGCCAATATTCTTGACAAGGGGTTTGAAACTAAAGACCCATGTTATTACTTAATTAACTAATTCTCATTATAGACAATTAGTTAATTACACGCATGACGCGTGTATAGTATTGGCGATTGTAAGAAACTATTGCAGATCGAAGTTTGGTGGACTATTATAAAGTCTTCCATATAAATAATAATATAATAATGACGCTTTATTCACGCTCTCAATATCGAATTCTTTTAAAATAGACGCTCTCACGCTCCCGCTCTCGCTCTCGCTCCCGCTCCCGCTCCCGCTTCACGAACTGGTTACCTAAGTTGTGACAGCACTATCAATTTGAGAGAGGGTGTTAGAAGTTAAAGATTGAAGTACCTTTTTTGTAATTAGCCATGTACATAAATTTTCTTTTCTCACGTGGGTTAGAGCTTGGGGCAGCCGAGTATATATGTGTGTGGAGGGTTTTTGCCAACGTAAGCTTCTGTGAACGTGGAATAAGGATCACAACCTTCTCTTGTTGGGAACCACGTAATCTCGGTGTTCTATGTTGATTATTTTTTCAGGTTTGGTTCAATTGACAGCCTTAAGATTGTTCACAAATTTCCAACCAACCTTTCCCTCGACCTACATTACTTATCGTCCTCCCCAATGTACATACAGCACAGCCAGTTGCTATACATTGCCAAGGAAGTAGACAGGAAGTATGAAGTTCACCGTGGCCGTGTCCAGCTAGGGTGCCTTTTGGAACTCTAAAGTAGAGAGCCACTCATAAAGGAGTGGTTGAGCACAGCCTTTGCAGTCGGACGCTGTCGAAAATCTGGATTCAGCATCGCCTGCACAACAATGGAACCATGAGCATGGACCGCGTACAGATTATTATTCGATTGCAGAGTTGCTAAATTGAGGAGCTCACGCAATCACTTCCTTAAAACATCTTCCTACCTGAAGTAATTCCCAACCAGACCGATTGCCGATATCCAGAAACTTCACGGCTTCTTCCAAGCGATCATCCGCAAGACAGTATCTGTAAAGGAGAAACAACATGCAACTGTTGCAATTGACTAGAGAAAGCTACTATACTAACAAGATTGCCACGCAAAACCCTTCCTATTAATCCAACTTCAACACTCTCTAAATCGCAAGGACTATCTTACTCTCTTGTAGCTTCAAGATCGAGTTTAAAAGTATTCTCCAAAAGCCTCTGTGGACAGATGAACGGATCAACAAATGAGCAACTCCCCAAGTGATGTGTCAAAGAAGAGGAAAGTACACAGCTGTTTTTATACCTGCAAAGAAAGGCTATCCATGATACCTGCTTCACAGAATGGAACGAACGCCATGTATGCCAAAAGCAGACCTGCTGCATATCTATGCAGAAACAACAAGAAACAAAAAACAATGAAAAGGACAAGTAAACTTGAGGACGTTAAGAGATACAATAAATGAAGAAAACTGGCAACCAAGTTACATGTCGTCGGCAATTCCAAAGGCCCGTTTCTCCAGAGCCGTGAAGGCACCAGCAGCAGTAGCCCTTCTCCACAGACTCTCTGAGAGTGTTCGTGCACCTTCTAGATTTGAAATACTGTCAAAGCTGTGTGAATCGGATAACGAAAAACAAGGTCAGGTGTCTCCGCCTAATGCACAATAATGATCAGCTTCATTGCCATACAACAATTAACTTGCATTGTCATATTTTATGTAAGTTCAAGGAAAGATAGCATTTGCAGAAGTCTGAGACAAATTTCACATAAACTACCAAAACCCTGCCTATATGAATACAAACTACCAAACTTTCAAGGAGGTAGGGAATAAACTATAAACTGCTTGCCTATTATCATTCATCATTAGCAATTTAGCATCAACCACAGACTAGAGCAGTACTCTAGCAGTAATAAATCTGCTACTTTCCACAGGGGCACTATATATAGAAAGGAAAATGGAAAAAAAGAATACCTCATATCAACAGAAAATGTCAAGTCTCGGAGACGTGGAATCAGATAACCGGCGTCTTTCTCACTTATGGTACTGCAATCCATCATCAAGCAGTGATTCGGGTAAATATCAGGAAGCAAAAACAATCAATTGATGCATTCAAACTCTAGAGAAGAAAATTTGTTGTACAAGAATCATGTTGAAAGATACTTGAGAAGGAGAGAAGAAGGCCCAAGACTCTGGTGCAATCTGTCATGATCATGCATGAAGGCAAGACCACTTATAGCACCTTGAAGGATCCTGATAACAAAGTATCTTCTATACTCCATATCTTTCTGTTGTTGAAAGCTGTTCCAGGACTTTTCTCGTGAAGAAGAGCCTTGTGAGATTCTCTTGCTAGTCAGTGCTGCATAATCTGCTGCACTATATTTCCCATGATTGCGAAAAGCAAGCCACTGCACAACTAATTCTGTCAGTTAGTATGTTTCAATGGTGTGAAGGGCAAAGACTATACCTGAAAATCAATTTGTTGATACTACGAAAAGTGAACCTGTTCTCCAGTTTTCGTCTCAAATCCTCCTATTAGATGCACTAGATTCTTACAAATACCTTCTGCAGAGCTCTGCAAAATAGAGTAAACGTACACCAGCGTAGGATTCCTTTCAGGAGGAAAGTTCCAAATGTTAATGAGAATTCGGTCATTGTAGTATTCACCTGAAGGGAAGAGTGAGCACTGAGCTCATTTGCAGCCATCATATCGGCCTCGATACCACCAGCCCTTTGGCCCGGATAAACCTTGATAGACAACAAAAGAGAAGAATAAGCAAAGGCAATTCCTAACTTTGGATTGAGCTAGCTTCTATAATAGGATAGGGATTGAGAAGAAAAACATATTGATTAAGAAGATGAGAAATAGAAGGTCGCCGAGGCCGACTGACCTTAAACAGAACAGGAGTTCCCCTTTGTGATCCCTGAGCTACTCTTCCCTCATAAAGCCTGCAACATTGCTGCCATGAACAAATGCAATTGTTTGGGACCAAAATTTATAAAGAAAATGGATCGTTGCATCATTTCAAAGGATCGATGGGAGAGTAGCTTGTGAAAAGTGAAAACCTACTTGATTTTGAAACTGCCTTCCCCAACATCTTGAACTTTCAGCTGTTGGAGATCCATTGGCGAATAGCTCAACTCGCTGCCTGATTGAAATCCCGAGTAGCTGGGGCATGGAAATCAAAATATAGTATCTAGCGGAAACTTGGCGGGTTATGAAGAAGGTAAAATTAGCGGAAGAAGAAGAACGAAAGATATAGAGACAGATACCTGGTAACGTTCATGAAGCCGTAACTTCCGACGAGTGCTCCGACTTCAAACGAGTCGGAGGTTGTAATTAGACTGGCTCTGCATCTCCACCGCTTTGGCGAGTTCAGTATAAAACTGGAGATTCTAGACGAGAGGCAAGGGAATTTGCTATTAGGATTGCAGTAAGCAGCGGGTGGAGAATATAATAAGCTACCGGCGGCGGTGGCACAAAGCATGATTTTCTGTTTTCCGGTGGATATATTTTAGCGAAACTATGAAGGGGCTAGCGGCCAGGAACTGGTTTGTGGATGGTGAGCCGGGGCGGGATCCACACTTGGTGAACGTTTGCTTGATAATTTTCTGCGAGCGGAAATTAACGCACCGATGCCAGCCATGAGGAGCATTTTTACTATACCTGTTTGTAGTTCTGCAATGTCTATTTTTTACTCAAACTTTTTTCAGATTATTTTATTTTAACCAAACTTATAGAAATTCTATTTATTATCCAAACTTATTATAACTTATCAAAGTCTAGGCATTCATTATGTTATCGTTACTTATTTTGTTACTTATTCTTTTATTTTAAAAATAGTAAATGATGGTATTCTGACCGCCACATAGGAAGTCAACTCATTATGGTCATACTTAGTCAACATTACTAACAAAAATATTGATGGAGAGTTAACGTTTGGATAATTATTGAGATTGGTGAGCTCCGCTTGACCACTCGTCTGAGGATGGTATGAGATTGGGGTCCGATTTTGAACTTCGTATTTGCTTAGGAGCTTCTCGAATTGTCCTTGGAAGTGTGTCCCTCGGTAACTGATGATAGCCCTTGGTGTTCCAAATATGGAGAAGAGCTTCTTTAAGAACTTGCAAACTTGGCGGGAATCATTGGATTGAAATGCTTGTGCCTCTGCCCATCTCGACACATAGTCTCCTGCCACTAGAATGTGTTTACATCAAAGAGAAGATGGTAATGGTCTCATGAAATCTATATCCCACACATAAAAAAAATTCACATGTGATGGAAATATTCTGAGGCATTTCATCTCTTATCGATATATTACCCGATCTTTGACACCTATCACATCTCCACACAAAATCCTGAGCATCCTTGCAAATTCTAGGCCAATAGAACCCGAATTGGAAGACCTTCATAGCCATTCTATGGCCTCTATGATGCACTCTTGCGCCTCCCAAATGACAATGAGTAAGGATGTCTTGAGCTTCCTTGAGATCCACACATCGCCGAACGAATTTGTCAGCCCCAATACGAAATAAAAAGGGAATGTCTCGAAAATAATGCTTTATGTCAGAAAAGAACTTATCCCTCTCAATCTGTGATAAATTCTTCGGGAGCTATTTGGTTTCCAGATAGTTTGTGATATTCGCAAACCACGACACCTCATCCTCCTAAGTTTGCTTCAAATAAAGTCTTTTGTATGGAAAAGAGTCGTTAAATTATCTTCTGGATATTTCTTTTGAGGGCAGCCCTTCTAGCCTCGATAAGTGGTCTGCTGCAAGGTTTTCAGCTTCCGGTTTGTCTTTGATCTCTAAATCAAACTCTTGGAGAAGAAGAATCCACCGTATCAAACGAGGCTTAGCGTCCGCCTTTGTCATTAAATATCGAATTGTCGAGTGATCAGTGTATACAACCACTTTGGAAAGGACCAAGTAAGGGCGAAATTTGTCGAAGGCGAAGACGACTACCAAAAGTTCTTTCTCTATGGTTGTAAAATTATCTTGAGCATCATTTAAAGTCTTGCTTGCATAATAGATGGATCGAAACCCCTGAATGCCCCTAGGGTTGTATTCCTCGAGGTATTCTAAGTTATAACTACTCACACCAACCATCCATAACAATGATGAAATATGAAAGACATTCAGGGGTTTTTCAATTAACAAACAAGCAAAGCAAGAAGAGTAAAGTTGTTTAGGGTTTTTTCGATTTATAGATGCATAAAAATAAAAATACATTATTGTAGAAGGTAGTGAACTCGAAAAATATCATGCATGCTAGGACTCATTCATATCATGCATTGATGGTTTATCTATTGTAACACCGTATCCCTTTGACACGCTAAAACACAACACCTAACAATGGCCAAGTGTAACCAATGAAAGGGACTGCAGTATAGTGGCACAAGTAATAAATATCGAATCCACGGGTCTCTAGAGTTACTATTACTCAGCTTCAGTTCATTATCTAGCAAACTAGATTAAGGATTGATTTATAAACTACTCTACTGACTACTCTACTAATTACAAGTTGGGAACTCACTTAGGTATGATTCCCCCTAGCTCCTCAATTAGGTCCAAGTTGCAATTACCTTTGGTTGATCTACTGTTGATTAAACTGCGGAAGATCCTAAATTAGCTTGGAATCTCTTAAGCTGACCAAGCCCTCTCAGTCCAACTACCCGGCAGACGACTAGTCTTCACCAGGATAGAAAGCTGAGGCTATGAACACAGAACTCCACTACTGGAATGAATTCCAATACAAAGCAGTGAATTGATTGACTCTCGCACAACCAATTCACCACTATCAATCAAGGAAGCTCTCTTAACCTAATCAGATTCTATCTATCATAGGTTAAAGCAGAAATCAAGAGAATTTGATCAAGATTCAATTGACTCAATAAATCATGCCTCAATCGATTATAATCAAACAATATAGCATCCAAAACTTCATACAAGAAAGATCCTAACAGATGGAACTAGGGTTCCTCAAAACCTAAGTGAAGGGAAGTTACTCCATAGAGAAGAGAGAGACTGCAGAAATCTGATCTAGATCTTCAATCTCCATCTCCAAGCTTAATTCCCGAGCTTCAATGGCGAAGAAATCCTCCAAAATAGCTCCAAGAATGTTCCCAAGTCGCTCTCTCTCTCTAGGGTTCGTCCCTTGGGTGTTTGGGATCCAAAACCCAGCTCTCTCCCTTTCCTTTTGCTGAAAATCGGGTTTTAAATATCAATTCCCGACTCACACGGCCAGGCTACACGGCCGTGTGGCTTTCCCAGCTGCCCGTGTGAAGGCTCGGTGAATTCCACACGGGCAAAAGTGCCCCTTGCACGGCCGTGTGGGTTGTGCCCGTGTGGCTTGCTCAGCCTCTGTTTAATGCTTCATTTCTCCCTCGTCCGGACTCCGAATCAGTCGCCGTTTGATCCCAGACGCTCGTAGTCTCGTCCTCTTTCTTTTCATGACAAGCTTGCATGATTCTTTGTCCATAAAGTGAGGTAGAAATCCATTCTTCTTCAGGTCATACCCGAGTTTCTTCTCCCGAATCGTCAATTGATCTCTGATTGACTTGAAACTTGCGCCTATGCTTCATTTTATGTGCTAGGACCTGAAATGTGACAAAGGAACACAACCTAGCATAATTCAAGCTGAAACAATCAAGAAACAAAGGGGAAAACATGTGCAAATACCGAGTCATCACCCTTCCTCCAAGGTCACTCTCTACCATTGATCGATTCATTTCGTGCATGTCATTGTCAGTAGTTTGTACGTATCAATAACTACCCCACTCTAGGCCAAGTTTAACCTATAATGGCATCGTCAGTGGCAATCAAGGTCGTATTCACTCGGGTCGCAGTACCTAGCCTACTTCCCACGTTGTTGTTATCTAGCCGGTCGGTTTAAGGGGATTGTGTTGGTCTGTTGGAGGATTCACTCGAAATAACTAATAGAGAGAATAAGCAAGGATAAAAATAGGTACATTGGGGAACTAACCCTCGCCTTAGCCTAGGTCTATCATGTAAATGTCAAAATATGTTGGGTTAAGTCAATGTGGTGAGTGTGCTCTTTTCCATGGGCCATCATGATTATCCACACGCATCCGAGTACGGCCTACCTACCCCATTGTTACCTCAGTATAGGCTCACGTATCTGGGGCTTTAGGAACTTAGCTCCTTTCACACCGTCCACATCGTCCATCTAGGAAGGCGTTCTTGTGGCAGGGGTTCGGTCGCCTCGTCCACCACAAGACCTTATTCATTCATCTAACCCTAATCTTCCATATGACGTATACCTGTCTAATCCTAAAACTTCATACCCAACGTAGAAGCTCAAGCAGGCTAGTAGAGAAGATTAGTGCAACTTACCCAAGCATAATTAAAACTAGATGAAGCATTAAAATCAATTAGACAAACATATTCATTCAAAACTCTAACATATTCATTCATAACATAATAGCCCTAAAACTAGGGTTTGGGGGTTAAAATCCCTAGTACCATAAGAGACTACTTCATAAATGAGGGAAGAAAGTATATAGAAGAATTTGGGGAAGGCTTGATGTTGAAGAAGATGACTCCTCTCTTCAACCTTCTCCTTCTTCTCCTTTTTTTTCTTCCTTCAACTTCTCTCTTTTCTCTATAAACCAGAAATTTCTATCTCAAAATCAGCTCCATTAAAATGGGGGAAGAGGTCCTCTATTTATATACTTCACGAGGGTGGACAAGTTCATGGCCGAGAAGGGGGAGTTCACGGTCGTGATCTTTCCCTTCGAGCCCACGATCTTCTGGTGTCGCCGTTTTGGTCTTCATCTTTAAGTGGTTTGCGGGCTGACTTCACGGTCGCGATCCGTGAGTCATGGCCGCGAACTTTTTCGCAGTCAGGGAAGATGGTGATCGTGATTCGACTGTCAAAACTTTTTGGTTCTCTTGGGTGGCTTTCTCACGAAGTTCAGACCCAAGGGGTCCATTTTCATGGACACAAACTATGGTCCTCTGGTGATCTTCTCTCTTGCTTTGCGGTCTGCTATCTCGACCGATATCTTTCCCGTACAGGCTATGATCATCAGCTTCCTGCCATTTCACTACCATTATGACCTTTTTTTCGTACCTAATTCATATGTATCGTCTAAACCATCCTAAAATCATGACATAATCCAATAGGAACAAAATAGGGATGCAAATGATGATATTCTTCTAATTATGCACATGAATTAGCACGAAACAAACCTAATATGAAGGGCAAATAGCACCAATCTGGGTGTTATCAACCATGCATGCGCCTCTTGCGATAGAGATTTAACTAGCTAATGTGTTTGTTTGCTTCATGTCATTACCCAATCAATGTAACACTCATACATGTATCAAACCATTTACAAGATCATTCTTATAAAAAATCTTTCACAATCTCGTTTAGTTTAAAAACCAAACCATAATTTACAAACTTTAAAGACTCGAAAAGAACATGACAATAGAGAAGATCATCTTCTCTCAAAACTCGTATAAAACAAGTCATGTTGGAGTGGGAGTCCACCGTCCCACCTCATAGATGCCAAACTGAGCCTTGTTGAGCTCTCTTGACTTTTAGTCCAAAACTTTCAATGTGAAGAAAATTTTGACAGGGTGAG